TTATGAGAGATTTTGAACGATAATAACTCCGCTGCCCTTGGACCAATTTCATTAATTTGATCGGTAAATTTAAGACTTTATCATTTTTTAAAATGTCACTTTTGAAAATTCCATGGATGTGCAACTGTTGCTATGATGATTAAAATTATCACCGATTTCCTGTGAAAAGCGATTTCCCTAACACAGATTTCAAAGTTGAATTCCATTCGGTCTCATCAAACGGTGTTTATTCAATCACCGCGTGATGGGTGGTGGTGTTCTCCAGTACACAACGAAAGGCTCCTCGCAAGCAGCTAGCTATCAAGGCTAGTCTCAACCGCTGATAGGGTACAGTTCCAATCACCGTGTGTGGTGGTGTCCGGTCGTCGGAATCAACAGCAGCAGTGCTTGCGGCCCGTGGCGTTGAACATTGTTCTCCAGTACACAACGAAAGGCTGCCTGCAAGCAGCGAGCTGTCCTTTGTAGTTTTGTTTACGAAAATCAAGCATGATCTTGGGCAGTGGTGAGGTTTGATTTTTTGATATTTTCCCAACACTGGCTCTGATTATTAAAATTATCACCGATTGCCTGCGAAAAGCGCTTTCCCTACACAGATTTCAAAATCGAATTCCATGTGGTGAGTTGTGGTGTCCGGTTGTCAGCAGCAGCAGTGCTTTCGGCGTGAGGCGTTTCACATTTTTCTCCAGTATACAGCGAAAGGCTCCCCTCAAGCAACTAGCTATCAAGCCTGCCCTCAACAGCCTTCGATTCACCGAAGAAGGAGGAAGAAGCCGTACCGCTACTGATCGGATTCAGTTGCTCGCCGTAAACCGCTGTGGGCCATCTATGCCAAGCGCGTCACCCTCGTTCCAAACAACATACAGCTCGCCAGCCTCATCCGTGTTGAACACCCTAATAGCTCAGCATTACTCAACCATCACAATAAAACGGTTATTTCCAGGACCACCATAAATTATTGTTGTTTAAGAGTTAATTTTCATTGAACGTTCGCTTGCCTTGCTGCCAGCCACATCACCCCCAAAGCTTTTGAGAATGTATCCAGTGCGTAACAGTATTGAAGTGGTAAAAATTCACGCAATGATCGAATACCACATGATCTTGTCCATTAACCAGAAACAGATCCGAAGTCGATATCAACAGAATTTCACAAACTTAGGTGAATCGAAGATACATCATGGAGGGACGGAAACGAAAGCAAGCGCTGGACTAGAACCAGGCAAGACATAGCAGCAGAGGCAGCAGTCATGGCATTGGAGCTGAGAGAAGAACCTCAACAAGACCATCAAGCTAGTCGATAGGAATTGGACCAGGGCCCCCCAGGTCAAAGTAAAAACAAGCAGTCACCCAGCATGGAAACCACAAACGAAGTGACAGACGACTAACTGGCGAAGAAATCCATTAAAATAATGTGGTTCACTGTAATAGAATTTTCTTGGAAGCTTGTGCCATCATCCACCAGATGGGTTAGTTTTTTTGTTTTGATTTGAACAAAGTTGATTTTGTGTACAATGATTCTTTGACAGTGTGCAAAGAGTGTATCATTTTGTCATTTTTTTATGCATTTCAGTTTTGAGTAGAGTGAAAGAGATAGAACCAAAACATTCCAATACATTTGGTGAAAATGCTAGTACAATCCAGTAGTAGTGTTGCCATGTGGTACAATCCAGTAGTAGTGGTATTGTCATGTGGTACACTGAAAAATTGCAATAGCAGGTTAGTCATCAAAGTTTTCGAGCCGCTCCGTCTGTCACTTCGTTTGTGATGGAAACCTTTTATGTTTTCAGCGGATAGGGAAGATGGCGAATTAACAATGAAGGGAAGTTGGCAGATTAAAGAAAAAGGAGGTTGACGAATATTCTCAGTCCATACAAAATATAAAGATTGTTCTCGGAAAAACTTGCCACAACTGTGTATGACTTTTTATTGCATGGGTAAAATTGATGAAATTTTGAGTAAAACTAGTTTAGAGTGCAATGTTTACATGTGCAAAATCTCGTCACAATCTGTCAAGTGGTTATCGAGATGGCTTCCAAGCAAGAAGTGCTTCGACAACAAATTATGGGAGCGGTCGTGGACAATCCAGGCCAGTCCCACAGGTGGCTGGCGAAACAGTTTGGAATCGACAATTCGACTGTGTCCCGTGTGGTAAAATCGTTCAAGGAAACCCAGACGACCCAGCGGCGAGCTGGCAGCGGAAGAAAAGCGAAGACGACCGACCCCGTGAACGCAAGAAAGGTGAGGGATTACTTCAAGCGCAATCCGAACCTTTCGAGTCGGGACGTGGCCAAGAAGATAAATTCTTCCGTCTGGTTCATTCAGCAGAGAATAAAGCGGGGGCCGGACTTCATGTCTTCAAGGTAAGGAAGGCGTCTAAACGAACCGATAAACAGAATACGTTGGTCAAATCCCGCGCCAGGAAGCTGTAGCGCGAGTGGTTGGTGCAGCCGAAATGCATCGTAAAGGGTGATACGGTCAAAATTTGGTCAAGGGAAAACGCGTGTAAATCGGTGAAATCGTTTATTTAAAAAATCAAATTAAATTTCTATTTCAAGTTCAATTAGTATAAAATTCAGGAAAAATATTCAGTTAGGCTTCCGCTTTTCCAAATCCGAATTGCCGGGCCTTACGCTAGACCCCTGCCATCAGATTTTGTACAGCCACCTTGTCCACCTTCTTCGCCGCAGAAAGCCAGTTTGCCTTGAACTGCTGCTCGCCCTTAGCAGTTTTTTTGGTCTTCTTTAGGTTCCGCTTGACAATAGCCCAGTATTTCTCAATTGGGCGGAGCTCTGGCGTGTTGGGAGGGTTCTTGTCCTTGGGAACCACCTGCACGTTGTTGGCGGCGTACCACTCCATGGCCTTTTTACCGTAATGGCAAGATGCCAAATCCGGCCAAAACAGTACGGAACAACCGTGTTTCTTCAGGAAAGGCAGCAGACGTTTATTCAAACACTCTTTCACGTAAATTTCTTGGTTGACAGTCCCGGAAGCTATGAAAATGCTGCTTTTCAAGCCACAGGTACAGATGGCTTGCCAAACCAGATATTTCTTTGCGAACTTTGACAGTTTCATGTGCTTGAAAGCATCGGCTACCTTTCCCCTTCCTTTTGCCGTATAAAACTCCTGTCCCGGAAGCTGCTTGTAGTCGGCTTTGACGTAGGTTTCGTCGTCCATTACCACGCAGTCAAACTTCGTCAGCATCGTCGTGTACAGCCTCCGGGATCGCGCTTTGGCCGTCGTATTTTGTTTATCATCGCGATTTGGATACCTTCTTGTAAGTCGATAGTCCGGCTCGTATTTTGGCTCGATGCACGGTTGTAGACGATACACCCAGCTTATTTGCGGCATCTCGGAGAGAGAGGTTAGGGTTTCGCTTGAAACTACCGGCAACTCTCTTTGTCGTCTCAGCGGCTTCCGGTTTTCGATTTCCCCCCGATCCAGACTTCCTGGCTATCGACAAACGTTCCCCAAACACTTTAATTACATTTGTAACGGTTGATTTGGCAACTTTTAGCGATTTTGCCAACTTTGCGTGCGAGTAGCTCGGATTTTCGCGATGCGCGAGCAAAATTTTGATACGCTGCTCTTCTTGCTTGGACGGCATTTTGACAACTGAAGAGTGAATTCCAAAATCAAAATAGGAGCAACATTCTACACACACACACCTTCAAAATGAGGGGTGTTCAGGTTTTTTAAATGCAAAATTGAAAGAAATACGTCAAGTTGATACTGACCAAATTTTGACCGTATCACCCTTTAATGGACGACAAGACGAACATTAAAGCGGACGCCAAGCACATCCCCGACCTGGAGTTTTTCCTCGGCAAATCCCACCTGGATGTTCCGGAGAAGTATCGGAAGAAGAAGATCGACAAATTTGCCAAGAAGTACTTAATGTGACAGATGATCTGTGGGTGCGGCAAATTCAGCAAGCCGTACATAACGACCGGCACCATCAACGGCTGTCCTTCCACCGGTCCCACGAAGGTGACACTCTGTTTTGGCCGGATCTGGCATCGTGCCATTACGCAAAACCGGTAGTGGAGTGGTACGAAGCCAACGATGTTATTTTTTTTGCCGAAGGAGACAAATCGGCCAAACTCGCCAGAACTTCGCCCAATAGAAAAATTCTGGGCGATTATTAAGGGCATGCTCCGAAAAACAGGGAAGGTCTTCAAAAACGACAAGGATTTTAAGAAAGAGTGGAAGAAAGTGTGTAAGAAAGATGGCGCAAGTGTTGCACAAGATTTGATGGATAGCGTTAAGTCTAAAGTGCGGGCATTTAGCCTAGGAGGTTGAATAAACCAACTTTGCAAAAACATAGCTAATATGTGTTTATTTATTCCCTGAAAGTGTCAAAAATATCCGACTTAAAATGAATTTTTGGTGATCATTTTTGTGTGTTGCATTTTGTTCGAGTATAGTCTTTAACATATTTGTATGGACGATGATCCTCGAATTTTAGCTCATTTTCATTTAGCTGATTGATCATAACAAATAATCATGCAAAGTTTCATGCAAATCGGCGAAGGTCGATCCTGAAATACATTTTTTTGCTATTTGGCCTGGAAATGCTCAATAGTAGTACAAACCTGGCTTACTATCTGCTTCTCCGTCTTCCTTATTATTCTGTTTTCCTTTATTTCCCGTTTCCATGGACACCTTGACCTTACACATCGAAGCCATCAACACGAAAAAGTTTTCACACAGTTTCTATTAGGAACGCACATAACAAATTCTGATTTTATTTGTTGAGGAAACTTTTTGAGAGAATCAATTTTATACAAGTCTGTCATAAATATAAAAACTTGTTACCGATTGCAATAGTCTTTGAACCCTTTGACTATCACCCTTGACAGAGTAGATTGTTAACTGTAAATATGTACTGCTATTCCACATGCAGTCATTTTCAATGCAATTTGAATTTCTAATCAAGCAACTTTATCAACAAGAACTAGAGGAATAGCAGAATCAACAAATGCGATTGGAAGTCCCATCATCCAACGGCGGTGTCTAACCGAGTGCAGTCGCTTTCCGTTATCAAAGCTGTACAGTCGTTCCGGGTTTTTCGTTGTGAAGCAAGTATGAAGCGAACGGTTTTACTTCTGGTAGCGATACTTGGAGGCATCTCGGCTGAATTGTCAGGTTTGTTAATTGTGTCATCCCTTTTGGATATGCTAATGCCTCACGCATTTTCTATTGACCAGAATACACAACGTCTACGACCAGCTTCACGTTCGACTTTTTCAAACATGCATACGTCCCATCGGAGAATGTCGTCCTCTCACCGATCTCCATTCACTCGTCCTTATCGATGTTCTACCCACTGGCAGGGGACAAAGTAGCTCCAGTCATGCAGGAAAATCTGCACCTTCCTGCAGATAAAGACCAAGCTACGAACAATCTGCGCAGTTTCCTGCAGGAGATGAACAAGCAAACCAGCGGTTCGTCAACCCTCAAAGTCCTCTCGAAGGTGTATCACGTGAACGCCGAACTTCAACCTGAAGTTGTACCTCTGTTCCGGGATACATTGCAAGCCGAGTTCGAGCCGGCAGATTTCCACCAAACGGACGAGGTTGTCGCATCGGTCAACAGTTGGGTCGAACAGGCTACCGATGGGATGATCAAGGAATTCATGGAGGCCGGTGATTTGCGGGTGGATAACGATCTGATGCTGTTGAACGTGGTGGTACTGAATGCATCGTGGGAGGTTCCTTTCGATGCCGGCGAAACGGAACCTGTTCCGTTCCATTTCCAGAATGGAGTCCACGATGTGGATATGATGTTCAAGCTCGAGCAGTTGCTGTTTGCAAATCTTCCCGATCATGGATGTCAAGCGGTGGAGTTGCTCTACGAAGACGGGACGGACCTTTCGATGATGATTGTACTTCCCATGAAAAAATCTTCGCTGGAGAATGTGGTCCAGCAGTTGGACTTGGGCTTGTACGAGAAAATTAACGAGAGGATGAACAAGGAACGGATACAGTTGGCCATGCCAAAGTTTACGATGAAGAAGAAAACCGACGCACAGGAGCTGCTGAAAGCCATGGGACTGAAAGCGTTGTTTGAGGAGCTGGATCTGAATCTGTTGAAGAGGGACAAGTCTCGGATCGGGGAGGTTCGGCAGACGGCGTATATCAAGGTTGATGAAAGGGGAACGGAAGGAGCGGCTGCTACCGGTAAGTGTCTTGGACTTGTTGATATTAATACGGCTTTCAATGGAAAACAAGATTTCACCTCTAGATTGTACGTAAGCAAGATAAGCAAGGGCAAATCGATTTGAATCTCTGCTGGGGCTACACATAGACAAACAGACATAACTATCGTCATAGAGCAGTTCCACGCCGAATGACGAATCGGAAAAGCTCGACCTTCTCCGATTTGCATGAAACTTTGCAAAATTGCTTGTTATGGGCAATGATTCACATTTTTGCTGAAATTCGGCAATTTTGGATCTAGTAAAATTTTCAAAATGGCGTCTTTGAATTTAAAAAAGAATGTTGGGTGGCATTCTTATCGTCTGAGACAAAGTTTTTTTCTGGGAATAATATACAACAAATGTTTTTTTGTAATTTCAAGAAAAAAATCTAAAAATTTTAAAAACCTATATGTTATTGTCCGATTATTGAAATTTTTATTTTAAAAAAGTGAATGAATAGTGCAATCTTTTGAAATGTTAAAAATGATGGACACAGATAAAAATCGTAAAACATGAACTTTGGTCAAATTTTTGAATTTATTGTTGGAACGTTTTTTCATATACAGTTAACTCTACACAACTCGATGTCCAGTAAATCGATATCGAGTTATAGAGCCATAGCAAGCATTAATTGAAAGTGTGAAAGCGGTTTCGTATGAGATTCTTATCCTATAACTCGATAATTCTAGATAGAGCTGAAATTAGAACAGCTTTTGACAATGCAACAATGCAACAAAGCAATGACTTCTCTTGATGATTTCTAGAAATCCAAGGATCACCCACGCAAACCAACATTTTCATCGGGTAGGGATAGACTTCCCCTATCCGATGATTAGGTTGGTCTGCGTGGGCATGCCGTGGGCATGAATTCCTAGAAATCATCTGTAGAAGTAATTGTTTACAAAAGCTGTTACGCCTTAATTCCAGCTCTATCTAGAATTCTATAAATCGATGGTCCCTTCAAGTATCGAGTAATCTATACTCAGAAAACAATGTTTGAGACATTTTTACTCATTTTCTGTGAAAAAACAGCGTTTTAACAAAGGGTTTAAACATTTGACCCAAAGTTCTTGTTCTGCGATTTTTGTCAGTTTTCAACATTCCAGAAATTTGCAGTTTATATAAGTTAAAAAAAAAAATTGATGCTTGAAATAAAATAAATAAATAAATAGCCCAGTGCTACAATTTTTTGAAAAATTTCATGGACCTAATTTCAAATTTTTTTAGAAGATCCAAATGTGAATCATTGCCAACAATTATGCTTATTTTAAATTTCACCATATATATTATATTAACAATATGATCCACTCTTTCGCTTAGCTGGTGAACCGAATGTTTATCGATGAAAGCACCTCTGTGGCCAAAAAGGCTACCAATGTATTTGTTTATCGTCACGAGGGGTAAACCAAATGAAAATTTGTTTAATATTTCAAAAAAATGTATTTCAGCATTTTATTTTATTTGATGACAACAGTGACATGTCAGATAAATTTTAAAGCAATATACACAATGTAATTAATGAAAATAATTTGACTCTTACTTTTGTAATAAGTGCTATATTCGCATCCCTCGATTGTAATTGAATGATTGTTGCTGACCTTTTTCAACGCTAGATGGTGCGTGAAGCAATATTTTGCCGGTCGCCATTGTAACATTTGGAAAAGGCATGAATTGATCATATTGTTAATATGATATATTTGATTTCACCATAGTTGAAAACGAAAACAATCTGGAAAATATTTTACAGTATTATTTACCATGCAGCCTAATATGATAAAACTATTGTGAATTATAGCGGTAGCAGCTATTTGTCAGGTGACTTACATTTTATGGCAGGAGAGCATAAAAAGCTGTATTTGATAACGGATTGCTTGATTCACTCGACATCTTGACTAGATAGAAGGTTGCTGTCTTCGGCAAAGTGGTTAAAGGTGTGTAAAGGAAGAGAGAAGCATTAGTCATTTCCCATTTGATTCCACTACACTAATTGCTTATCACTCACAAGATACGACGGTAGGCAAGGCACAACATTTATCGTTCTTACGATGTTTAAAGTAGATTAAAATTTACCTTTCTGTCAACCGGCATCGGGCGTGATGATTCAAAGTAACAATGCAAGCTTTATAGAGGTTTTATAGCATTTTACAAGCCTTAATCATGGTCTACAGAACCCACATGAAACAATGGTTACTTGGACTGCCGTTATACGGGAAAATACGTTGTTTCATACACGTCCAAAAAGAAGAAAATAGAGGCTACTGGATTCTCAGATTAGTAAGGATTGAGAAGGCAATAATTCATAGGGGGAGGCCATCTTCATTCATCAACGGCTCCGCAGTATTGTAGGTGATGTGTAATGTCTGGAATTTTTCAATTTCCCCGCCAGGATTGTCGTTCGGTCTAAATCGGACAAACTCGCCGCAAAGTAACAGTCCGCCAAAAGGAACACAAGAATGTTGAGCTGCTCGATTATGCTTATGCCAAGGGGTTGGTCACTCCACACAGTGTGCCAACAACAGATATGAGCACACCTGGGCACACTCATTGGAACTGTTTGGCACCCATGGATGGAATTTTTTATGATCTTTAATGTTTCTGGCAGCACTTTACTATCAGTGCGCATGTGTCAAACATTTGATAATCATAGTTGTTGACACAATCCTATTTTTGGAAACCACAACTGTGAATTTCCGCCAAGTCCGGCCAAGGATTCCTTAAAACACATAGTCAACGCACATACAAATGCCTGACCGAAGCCGTACAGCCATAGAGGTAACTCTAAGACCAGAAGGTCCCGAAGAAACGAGCTCAACTTTTTGGCTCAGCTCTGGTACTATCTTCGGTCCCAAGCTAATCGATTCACCCCTCGAAACATAGGAAAATCCACTAACCCCTCATTTTACGTGTCAAACTTTCATAGCGAATCAAAACAAACATAGTGTAGTACTGGAATTTATACTAGAATGGGGTACGTTAGTCGATTTGCTTGGGACCAATAGGCTAGTCAAGTAGTGAGCCAATTTAAAATCGTTAGTTTCGTATTGATTGTTGATACAGAATTCCGCGTGAGACTCGACGTATGTCTAACAACGATAACAACAATCTACTCAATCAAACCCACAATACAAAAGAAGATCCTCAGAGAAATTTAATCGGCCTAATCATTGGCAAATATCTCATCCCATCCAGATGCTTGATACCCTCCAGCTCCGTAATCAAAATCGTTTCCCAGAGCCTAAGGCTCGTTGCTTAAGGCCCGTGTCCGGGTTGCCAAACATGTAATTATTCACAAACAAGCAAAGTTAGCTCGATGACTGGCACTGTCGGCACTGCCAGTACAGCTGCGGCACACTTGAGGCACACTGAGAAAAACGTTGGCGCAAAATGAGTGAGTAGAGTGACCACCCCTTGACGCCAACTGACGAATCGATTTTAATTTTCCTTCTCCGAATTCCATGAAACTTTGCATAATTGTTCGCGGGCAATGAACCGAGGATTAGGACTATTTGATACATGTCAAATTATTCAAATGGCGTATTCTTTATTTGTCAATAAATCATAGCTCGAAAATGTGTCATCTTATCGAAATGACATCTGATGCAAAATTGTAGGAAACTGGATTAATTTTTCAGAAAAAAAAAAATACACACTGACAAATTTGACAAATTTTCAACAAAAAATTAAAATACTGTTAAAAACTTTAATTACATTAGCGTTGATGAGAGCTCTGTAACTGTTTTCTCCTATGGGAAAATGCCATATGTAACTGTCAGTTCATGAGTGAAACATGACGGCTTTTTCTTATTCTCTCTCTCCACCACCAAATCCTATAAAGAAACTGTCGAAATGTGTGTGAAGAAACGTCACTTTGGCACTGTCGTCAAGGCGAATAACAAATCCAGCTTTTTACGCTCGCCATAATTTCGCTGAGAGGCGATTCATCTTTGACATTAGACGTTTACCATTTTTATGGCACAGTTGTAGAAGGCTAAGATTCATTGAATTGGAAGTCTTACAGTGTACCAGTCATCGGGCTGACTTTTTTTTTGCTTTCACGCTAACTTAAAAGTACCCATCAATAAGTAAAAAAGATCAATTTTTAAGAAAAGGGGCTTAACTCATTACTGAGTAAATTTTTAAAACTACTCATTAATGGGGTAATAGTAACTCATTAATGGGTAACAGATACTATTTAAAGGGATAACAATTTACTCGTCAATAAGTTAAGCCACTTTTCATCAGAATTGGTCTTTTTTACCCATTAATGGGTACTTTCAAGTTGGCGTGCGTAAATAATTTCATGTTCGGCAATCCGGTATTCTGTAATCTTGAATGTTTTGTTTCTCTTGCTGAAAGCCGAGAGGTAATCCCTATGTTTCGAGGGGTGCATCGATTAGCTTGGAACCGAAGATAGTATCAGAGCTGAGCCAAAAAGTTGAGCACATTTCTTGGGGACCTTATGGTCTTAGAGTTATGTCTATGGTAATACCGGGAGCGGGAGTATGCGATCCGAGAAACGGAACGTAAGCTGCGGGATGGGCTACGCGATGGATTTGCCTCCGAACTTGTTTAGATTTACGAAACGTTGTTGCAAACTGTCTATAATAGAATGGCGGTGTAGCAGAAGTAGCAGCAGCAGCTGCTGCCTCCGCGGAAGTAATCAGGTGAAAGACAACAGCGCAGTATCACCATAGAGATAACTCTAAGACTAGAAGGTCCCGAAATAACGTGCTCAACTTTTTGGCTCAGCTCTGGTACTCTCTTCGGTCCCAAGCTAATCGATTCACCCCTCGAAATATAGGAAAAGCCAATAACCCCTCATTTTATCAGTCAAACTTTCAAAGCGAATCAAAACAAACATTGTGTAGTAGTAGAATTTCGACTAGAATGGGGTACGTTAATCGTTTGCTTGGGACCAATAGGCTAGTCAAGTAGTGAGCCAATTTAAAATCGTTAGTTTCGTATTGATTGTTGGTATCA